CTGAAGAAGACGGCCACGGCGAAGTTTTGCGTAAAACTGTCCTATCCCTCTAATGGGCTTTAGTAAAAGGTGAAAAACAGGGGACTAATCTAGCGGTTTGTGAAAATGACAACTGTGCGTGACTGAAGGGTGAGAAATGAAGAGGCAGGCAAGCACACTCAGGCGATTATGGCTGTTCAAGCACTTGCGCAAAAAAACTGAAAGCTAGAGTCTTCTTCCTGACCGGGAGTACACGTTTGCCCTTCACGTTCTGTTCAGAAGCCGTAGTATTTATATAATTATTTTATACATTGTTGAACAACCAGGAGCAGATTATGCACGCCTCGTCTGAACTACCACTTTGCTAAAAATTCTTATCTTGCGAGCACATGGGATGACTTCTCGTAACGACGGCTACTTCGACGTGAACTGCGCCTGTGGGAATGAAAAGGACGTTGGACCCTCTGGTAACTGACGTTTTTTCTACTAAAGCCAATAAAACTGAGTATGCCAGCTGGAAGTGTAGTAAAGTCATAGTAAGCAGAGACATGCTGCTTACCATGAATCAACCAACCTCCTCATCAAAGAGTCTTCATGTCGGCACGAGCATAATAGTTAGAAATGCACTAAGCTGCCTCAGAAGACAAGAGGACTCCTACACTTATATGCCAACATGCCGACTAAAAACTGCTCCACATACTTTTTTACATCATACCGACTGCAGAAAACAAAACTGTGTTCCTCATAGTCCCCCTTCAAGGGGACGCGGGGAGAGAGCTCCTGAGAAGGCGCCTTGAACAAGGCGTTTCACAGACCATCCCGGAAACAAGAGTTCAACTATTGTTTTCGACCAAACCCATCTTACGTGGGGAAGTTAAGGATAGGGTACCAGCTCAGACCACATCCATGTACATTTACTCCTTTACTTGCTCCTGTGGAGCAGGCTACATTGGTCGTACGAGTCGGCGCCTATCCGCAAGAATACGAGAACACCTACCGGCATGGCTGAGGAGGGGTGAAGTTAAGAGCATACACAGCCCCATCCTAGCACACATTGTTGACTCAGGGCACCGTGTGGATCCCAACGAAGCCTTCCATGTGATTTACAGGGTACCACCTAGCTACCCTGAGAGACAGGGTCAACGCCTACTAGCAACAGCAGAGACAATTGCCATCGATTCAGTCCTGTGCGCGCAGGAGGAACCTATTGCACGCTCCGAGTCTACCGTGGGTCAGGATCGATTGACTGTATGCACGTCTCCGCGCCCCCGTCCCCTTCCCTCCCTCCCCCTTGTGACACGGCTCAACCTAACCCTCACTGTCACTGCCTGCCTTCTTCCCCCCCCCCACTCTATTCACATACCCCGTTTGTCTGAGAGGACGAACCGTATTCGATCGCACTATCGTTCCCATGTAAACGTACAGGCTCGATGAGAATTTATCGAAAGTACGCGTACTCTCGCCAAATTCTCTTCAAATAACGTAGTGTACGCAGATGGATATACGTTATCAGAGGACACTGGCATAAAAACAACTCGACCGCTGGGGGTATTGCAGGGTCAATATCCCCTTGGTACTCGACATACTGCTACCGACCCACTGATATTCCCCAGTTTGCCTTAAATAAGCTTGTAAATCATTTCACAAAGCAGCTGTTCCCACATAAGCAAGAGGACATCGGTGTGGTCTTGGGTTTGTTGTGCCTTTCTCTCCTGGCAAGCGCTGGCGCATCCCAGAAGATTTTGATAGAGGGATCGACAACTAAGAAAGTGAGTGGATGCCGTGTTCCCCTGTTGCATGCTTAAACGGAGTGGGCTCGATAGTGTGGAACATAAACGCCCTGAAGGATGCACTGTAACCCATCTTCGGTCAGCGGTAACACCTCTCCCTCCGGCATCCTACGATTCTGTTGCTGAAATGCAATGGTCGACAACTCGAAGGTTCCCAAATCAGAAGGATGGGCGAGGTTTACTGATGCGAAAGAGTGTGTAGGCATGACGAAGGAGAAATGATCGCTGTATCAGCCTGACGTTTTGTATTCTCCCTCCAGTGACCGTGTCGCCTTAGCGGCTACTTCATGGAACCCCCTTCTTCGCTTCTATTAGCAGAGTATAGGCCGTTCAGCAAGCGGTTACGCCTGAGCTTCGTACGACTGTGACCCATCTGTGGAGTGATATCGATTGGTGCCACGGTGTCGGCGAGCCGGAGGTAGTCACGTGCTCGCGGGCAGTGAGTGACAGACGTGCTGACGGGAACAGAAGGCGGCATAAGCAATAGGTCACGCCGGCGACCACGGGGCAGACTGCCACACTGTTAAGCTTACTATGTATGGAGGACGGTGTCTCTTATTCATTGAGCCGCACCGCCCCCTAGATGCACACAGCCCTTCCTCCCAGTTCTCAATTTCATTTTTTATCAGGGTATTTATTTCCTTGAAAAAGCTTACTTCCGGACTTTTAAAGTGACATTCTGGACAGTTTTTACTTGTTCATTCGTATTCTGTTCGGTGATGGACGTTCTTATCAGATAAGGCGCACTGCCTTATCAAACGACATTCGATATACATATATTTCAAAATGAATGATAATAAAATAGCCAACAACGGTGATTGCTCATCTACGTACATGAAAGATGGTGTGGCCGCAAATTAATTTTCTGGGGAAAATGGGAGCTTGCTCTTTTAAAATCTCTCCAAGCGACATAAAAATGAGGTCCAACAAGCCGGAGCATATCTGTGCCTCTTCAGAGAAAGGAACCGACTTACTCAAATGCGACCTCTAGTGGAGGAGGCGGGGGAGGATGCGCCTTGCTCTGAAACGCGATGTCATTGTGCCAACCTTCGAATTAGTCTTTTGGCGAAATCTCCCTAATGACCGTTGGAGACAAATTTCTCTCATGAACACAAATTTTAAAGTGATTCAGTGTTGAAACCATAGTAGACTAAACTTAGGCAAGATATCGATTTTTAAGTCCTTACATCTCTGTACCTTATGATGTCTGAGCGGAGCTTTGCACCTCGGAAGCTTCGGCGGGGTTTTGGCTTCTTGCTAGACCAGCTCCCAGATTCAGACAAGTTCCACTCATCAGGCTCATTAGAATCATCGCAAAAAAATTACGAAACAAAACGAGTGAGACTGGGATGTTCAGTTCTGGTTTATTTTTCGTCGCCGGCTAACCGCACCCCGCTGCAGGCTGGAGGGAAGCAAAATCTGTCCCCGAGTCCGACTGATCACTGAGCTCCTTTTTTACCTATTGAACAATAGGTCCATGCTCTAGCAGTTACGATCGGGAGCGAATTTACATAGCAGTAGCGGTCGTCGATCTGGTCTGGTCGCAGGACAGAATGCGGACATTCCGTCTAGCTTGTCCGATTGTGCACAACTTGAGCATCCCCTAAAATCGTGGTATGATTACCCCGGCAATCGGATTTGTCACTTTGTACTGGCGGTTCGCATGCTCCCCTGCCCTCATTAGATGTCGGCTGTCAGGAGGCTCTGGTGCATTTCCGCCTCGTGTTCACGAAAGCGCGCGGACTCGCCTCGTGATCGATTTTCCCGTGAACGACCTTGTCGCCGCTCCAGGGGCCGAGCATTCTGTGTGACGATAGCTGTGCGAATGTGTATTATGAACTTGACGGCATCGCGCAGTGTGGCGCATCGCAGGCAACAGGACGATACGAACCAGTACCAGCACGTTCATTAGCTGGCACGCACGCACCCACGCGTGCGCTAGCTTGCATAGGCTCGACAGGGTTTTTTGGCTGCGTTGCTATTTTGGCGTACTGTGAGAGCGAGGGACAGACGGAAAGGCCAGTCAGCGTGGGCTGGTCAGCGTCACCAGGAGTGGACGAAAATCAGTTGGCGACTTGTAATTCAGGGCCCCTTTTGATCTGCTGCCTCGGATTGGCATTCCAACCAGTCTAGAGCCGACTGGTAGGAAGATAACAGCATTGACTAAGGCATAAGTGTGACGGAAAAATCCGGCCCTACATTTTGCCTGCTAGCTGGCACAGAAGAGGGAGAAGTAGGTGGGGAATGTCTGATACAAAGACTGGTAGAAAAAAAATAGAGCAAAAAAGGGATCGGAATGAAAAGGTAGAAGCTTCTGGAGAAAAAAAATGGGAACAAGGGTTGGAGCGCGAAAAGTTTAAGGACAAAAAGGACAGCAAATAGGTTCGTGAAGAACGAACGAAATGAAGGACATGTTGAGCGAGTGCAGAAAGAGCGAGAGGAGACGGGCATGACGAAATTAAGCGAGAATAATAAGAAGAGAAAACTGGAAGGAAAAAGAGGTAAAACAAACTTTGAAAAAACAGAGGTCTAGAAAAAGGGAGTTTAAAAGAGAAAGGAAGGCAATGAAAAAGATGCTGAGTAATTGTTCGAAAACTATAAGGAAATGTGGTCAAAGAAGGCAAGAAAAAGGAAGAGGAGTGCCGTTCCTAATAGTCTTCGTCTGTGGCTGTTGGTGGTGATGGTGGTGGTGGTGGTGGCGGCGGCGGCGGCGGCGGCGGCGACGACGACGACGACGACGGAAACCAAGAGCAGGAAGAAAGCCAGAAACAACAGGTAAGAGAGAGAGAGAGAGAGAGCGAGAGAGAGAGAGAGAGAGAAATAAACAATCTGGAATGCAATAACTAAGGGGAAGAAGAATAAGAGGAAATATAGGAAATAGTAGATTTACTACATGGGATAGCGAATGAACTGCCGCTGGTCATGTTAACTAATGTTTTGGAAATTGGCACGGATGTATTTAGACGAGTGTCATGCTAAATGGTCTTCAAGGCTTGTAAACTTCTGTTATGCCAGGATCAGAAAATCATGGCTCTAGCAGCCTGGCGTGAGCTGGCAGTTCTATGACACCTGGTTCCCTGCCAGTGGATGTAATTACGCCCCTGTTTGGTATACAGGTCGTGAGCATGACTACCCAGTTATCCTCGTCCTTCTCATCCGTTGTGGTGCTGTTGTTGTTCGTTAAAATCCCGGTCAATTTTGTGTTGTTGACGAGAGGATGTAGTGTTAGGCCTAGGCGCGGGTCCGGCCGTGCCAGCCACCTGCGCCCTCCCTCACTTCCGGCCTTCTTGACACGGGACGAGGTGGGGAGGAGGAGAAGAAGAAGAAGAAGAAGAAGAAGAAGAAGAAGAAGAAGGAGGAGGAGGAGGGGGAGGAGGAGGAGAGGAGGAGGAGGAGGAGGAGGAGGAGGAGGAGGAGGAGGAGGAGGGAGGAGTGTGGTAGATGCTGCGTAAGTTTATTCTCACTATAGACTAATTTACGCGCATGTTACCATTCCTGATTCGCCTTGCTGTGGAACACACGGTGGACATCGTCAGTCACGACGGTCGAACTGTCGTTATAGTAAGAGTTCTTGGCTTTAAAAAAAGCCACGGGAACCTGACCCCAACCTACGTGCTCTTCTACTCTTTAATTTGGCATCGCCTACTCTTTCCCAACCATTCTGCATATCGGTCAGAGAAACATTCGAAGGTATTCTATACTCGACTGATATTTCATGAAAAATGTCAAGGGAACAGAGTTCCCTTGCAAGAGTATTTTGATCGCATGTTTCACCCACCCTGACTGGATCTTTTCAGATCGCTACGCATAAACAGTTAGAAAAAATGACGAAATTATCAGTAGCTGCGAATTATTCGTCAACAAACGTCCGCCTGCGCAAATCCATCGGTAACATCTGACGGTTTCGCCAAATGTCAAGTTGTTGATCAGATAACTCCGTGAGATTTCCTGCGGCCATTCATTCAAGACTGGGGGCATATAGTTAGAATATTAAAACAGTTGGAGGTCTAAAACTGGGGCATTTAATGCACAGTTGGACCTCATGCTAGGCTCTAAGATAATATTCCCTAGGCCTTTTTCAGTAATCATCCATGCTACGGCAGCCCGTCAGATCGTACTTAAAAGAAGCCCACCACCCACCTCTGATTACTAAATACCCGATAAAAATAGTCAGCATGGTCTTTGAAATGTTCGCGCCAAGTCACTGCTTGCACTCTGCGGGCTGGCCTCGAGGGTACTCGAGTAGTGCGGTGCGGAGGCCGCTGGGGTAGCAAGTCTGTAAGCCAGTATGTTGCGCGTTCCCGCTCATAGACACAGACGCACTCGACCGACACATGAGATAATCGATCACAGAGGTCTGCGTCTCCGCCAAAATTTATCCACGGATTTAGACGCTGAAACGCTAAAAGAATCCGGGTTTTTTACTTCCCATAGTCTGATATTCGATCTGTACCACTTGTGTTACCTTGTGCAACTCTATCGGGCCGTTTCGGACTAGATGTCCGTTTTGATTCATATTTCGTTCGGCATGACATGTATGCGGATGCAGGGCTTATCGCCAGGGAACCCACTCCCGAGCGTGAGGGCTGCCGGCTGATCAGCTTTCCACACGCCTACGTGATTCAGGCTCGCAAAATGTTTGTCACTTGAATTCGCTGCATTTTACAATGGGGTTCGGTGCCTGTATTCATTTTGTAATAAGTTAAAGGATAAGTACACTAGGCATTCCTTTCTTACACTCATTTTATAAAACACTGTTTTTTTCTGAATAAGTTTGCTTGGAGATTTTTTTGTTGTAAAAACGACATAACAGTGCCTCGATACGTTGAATCAAAACTAGGCTACACGCCATATATTTCCCCTAGAACAAAATAACACGGCCACACACATTCATACAAAGAGGGCTTTGATGTTTTGTCATTTAAAAGTAAATGCTTTTTTGTTTGTTAGACTTTACCTCGAAGCAATATTCAGTGCTTTTCGAACACTGCATCATCATGAAACTTTCCGTAGCACATTTCCAGGGAACAATTTTTCAATATCTGAAACAAAATCAAAGAGTAATTGTCGATAACGACTTGCGGGCCATTCTGTATGAACTTCATTGCATGAACTGGAAGGCATTCGGTCACATGAATATTCACGCTAACGTCCCCGATAAATTCACAATTCATGTTTTTTTGGAAAAAACATAAATATTTCTTTTTCCCAAAGAGTATGTTTAAAGAAAGCAGATGATCCTACGGAATTCGTACATGGGAAAGAAGTTTTCTTCTCTCACTCCATAAAATATGGCAAAGTGTGTACAATTATCGAGAAGTACCACAAAAGACACTACTCAAGTAATTGGGCTTTTGGAAGATTGATTTCCCAGGTGATATGATAGATGTCCAAATGTGAAGAATGATGCGCGATCGCTGGGACGAGAGTTTTATTCGCCTGACGTTTCGGATTCCTGCTCGAACCCGTCATCAGAGGCAAAAGCAGATACGGGTAGTTCATGCGGAAGGGGCTGCAATATTTATAGGATGCAGTCGCCATGCTACCACATACCTATGAATATTCACGGCTCCCCCCTTCATCAGGGATTGTTGCACTTGGTGTGATGATTATTTGATGGCCTACATTCGCGTCGTTAATTGCTGCAATTTCATCACGTGCATTGGATGTTGGTGTGATGATTGCTCGATCATCTGACCCACCGACTATGATATTGGGAACAGTTTTTACCAGTGCGCTCCTCGCGTGTCTAATTACTCCGCCTAGTTGAAGTCTCAGAACCGAGTATGAAAGGGGAAGGTCGCTGAACTTGTTGATAGACTGGGGGACCAGTAAATCATGACTCAAGCAGCTCGCGGCTCATGCGGTTGTCACCTCTAGCGAGAATTTCGGTCTCGTCGAATTTGAATGTGTGACTTCCTCATGTCAAAAACGTTTCGGAAGCTCTCGGCGGCCTTCTCGCACCCCTTGGGGTTGGAGTTGCACACAGACCGGAGGCAACCATCAGGCGTCAGGTAATGAAATCGAAAGACCCTCTGACACGGCAAGAAACGTCTGAAGTCGTTTATTGGACCAGTTGCGGACAATGCAACTACGTCGGAGAAACCGGAAGACAGCTCCGAACGCGAATGCTCGGACACGCCGCAGCCGTGCGGAGAAATGATGCCAGCTCTCAAGTTGTGGCTCATTCGACGAGGCCGAAATTCTCGCTAGAGGTGACAACCGCGCTGCTTGAGTCATGATTTACTGGTCCCCCAGTCTATCAACAAGTTCAGCGACCTTCCCCTTTCATACTCGGTTCTGAGACTTCAACTAGGCGGAGTAATTAGACACGCGAGGAGCGCACTGGTAAAAACTGTTCCCAATATCATAGTCGGTGGGTCAGATGATCGAGCAATCATCACACCAACATCCAATGCACGTGATGAAATTGCAGCAATTAACGACGCGAATGTAGGCCATCAAATAATCATCACACCAAGTGCAACAATCCCTGATGAAGGGGGGAGCCGTGAATATTCATAGGTATGTGGTAGCATGGCGACTGCATCCTATAAATATTGCAGCCCCTTCCGCATGAACTACCCGTATCTGCTTTTGCCTCTGTTGACGGGTTCGAGCAGGAATCCGAAACGTCAGGCGAATAAAACTCCTGTCCCAACGATCGTGCCCCTTCTTCACGACTGCTTCCTGGGACTCGTCTCTTCGCTTCTATTGGAGACGTTCAAATGTAAATTAACGCGCCAGCGTGCGTATGAATTGGCTCAGAAACATGGTCCTCCCTAATCAATTCTATTCCTGCTACGCTAACCCAACAGTTGTGTCAAAAACTGGAATTTCACATACACCTTGATATATCGTTCAAAAATCTATGCAAAAAGGTGTTTTGAGACTAAAAACCACTTTCAGGATCCTTTTATCACAGTTTTGCCTTCTAAGTTTGGACCAAATCATAAAGCAGAACTTCATAGCTACTTTACCACCAGAAGGCACAGGGAAACTCCGAGGAACCCCTGACAGCTCATAGTATAATCTGTAAAGTTAAATCAAATCGGCGTCCCGCAACGCAAATGTTGATCAGACGAGTTTTCCGCCCGTTTCCTGCGGCAGCGTGATGTTCTCACAGAGTCCGAGGTTTGGACCAAGCACCTTATTCTGAGCTTGCTTAGGAATTTCAGATAAACTTAGGTATTTACACTCCATGACTGAGATTCTAACATTAAGTGCACTGGGAGCGCTGAAGGGCATGAGCCGACCCTCCATCTGCATAGTCATTTAAATGCAGCGGAACAAGTGCTTAAGCATTTGACCTTT